ATAGAAATCCAGTTCCCTGTTTCAGATCCTGCATGCAAGCTAAAGTCAAATAAACATCAATGCGTGAGGACTGCCAACGCACTCACATGTATTCTGGCAGGGAAATGATTTCTCTGCGCCAGTACCTCTAAAGAATCACCTCCCTTGAAATTCAGTTCCTCGCTAAGTGCGATGGTCGGCTGTTGCTCCATGGAAACAGTGGATGGAGCTGCTTCATTCTCTCCACCCACACCAGCTTCCGCAGCACGGGGAACTCAAGTGCCTCATCGCCTGAGACGCCAGCTCGGGAGGCAGCGTGGTGAACATGCTACTTGTCTTTTACACCCGCCGCTAACACTTGAGATACTGCAAGGCCAACGAAGTCGGGGTGGCTGGCGTTCTCCTATATTGTCACCAGCACACAGAACTGGATCTAAAACACTGGCTGAAAAACTTCTATTTTCCAACTCACATTTGTGCATTAGTTCAAGTCAAAACTTGAAAGCCAATATGAAGTGGTAACAAAAATGGGGGTGGGGTCCCTAGCCGGTTTGGCTTGGTGGGTACAGCATTGGCCTGCAGACCGAAGGGTCTCAGGTTCGATTCTGGTCAAGGTCAAGGGCACGCACCTGAGTGGCAGGCTCCATCCCTGGCCCTGGTCAGGGTGTGGTGCAGGAGGCAACCAATCGATGTGTGTCTCTCACATCGATATTTCTGTCTGTCTCTGTAAAAATCAATGGAAAAATATCCTCAGGTGAGGATTAGCAAAAAAAAAAAAGGGGGGGGCGGGGGAAGGGGAGGAAATTCTTGCTGTACCCGATGACAATTCCTTCTGAACCTGGCGTCCTCCCCCTGTATCAGCAAGCCTTTTTGATGGCTGCATCTCCTCAGGGATATTGGCAACAAACTTAGGAATAAAGAGATTTCAGGAAGATTTTCATTTAAATGACACTTGGCTTCCCTGCTGATGAAAGGGGAAGCCTTACTCCATCTGCTGAGATCAAATTTCATCTCATCAAACACCTCAGTGTAATTATTTTTCCACCAAGTATTTAAATGAGGATGGAAATGAACATCAAGGTATTTGAAGTCATTAGGGCTGCTGGGCTGAGAGGGAGCAACCCGGCCTCTCCAGGGACCGGCAGTCCAGCATCAAAGCAGCTGCTCACCAGTGTTCCATTTGTAACCTTTACACCACATTCTTGAATTAATGAAGAAGCGTCAAGACTCTATTTCCTCGGAGAATCTTGGCATGGGGTCTGCAGGAGGAGCAAGGCCTGTGGTGTGTGTGTGTGTGTGTGAGAGAGAGAGAGAGAGAGAGAGAGAGAGAGAGAGAGAGAGAGAGAGAGAGAAAGAGAGAGAGAGAGAGAATGCGTGTGTGTTCTATATTTCACCTTCTATAGTTATCGGGGAAACTGGGGTCTCCTCTTGCCCACTGGGTGGTGGGGGTGGGGTCCTTACACTATCTCCAGAAAAAGAATTTTCTGAGACTCACAGGGGAGGATGTGATTTCTATTTGTGTGGAGTTATATCCTTGGTTTTCCAAAGTCCCGTTCCGGTCATGGAAGAAGTAGCTGGGGTTTCAGTAAAGCTGGGAGCAAAGCCAGTGTCCAGTTTTGTGTGTGTGTTTTCCATGTTGGAACCAGTTCCGGTTCAGCATCAGGCAAGCAGCAGTCCATTAGTCCACGGTGCTGGAGTCCGCACGGCTGTGGGCCATGTGGGTGAACACAGGAGAGCCAAGCCTGAGCCATGAGCCAGGAGGAACCAAGAGAGGGAATTTCTTTGTTTAGGGATTAAATATCCCATGTTTCTCATCCTTGCAGTGGCCATGCCCATTCTGGTCAATGACTTGTTCCCAAGTGTGACTGACAGACAAGTACCTTACAGACGTCACCCCAACGTTACTGGACGTGCATCTAGTCTCCTCCCTGGGGTGTGTGCAAAGCGTTTGCTTCCTGGTGAAGTTGCCCAAATGACATGCCTATAATATTTGGCCTTCCCTTTGCTCCTGTCCTATTATTAATAACTAATTAACGGCCATGGTATCACTACTACAGTATAATACAGCAGTTTTAAAGTTGAGGAAATAACTATAAATAAGCCATCCATCATTACTTCTGTGGATCTTTCATTGTAATGTGCTAATAACCTTTCTCTTCTGGATTGTAATTTCTCTACTTGGAGAGGAGGAATATGGGGATTGCCAAGATATTGAAGACGGGTTTCCTGTCTAACATTGGCCATCTTCTTCTGAGCCTGCCTAGAAATACCCAAGTCTTAAGACCTACCCTGTCTTAGGAGGCGACAGATGAACATTTAGACTTTTCTCCATTTATAAACATCTCACTCGGCGTTATAAATAACACGCGATTTAAAAATTCCACTTCACCCTAACAACAAGATAGGCATGCAATCTGCCATGTCCTTCATTTGAATGTGAAGAGTGGTATGTTATAGTGGGAACTTTACCTCCTCAGAAGAGTCACATGGAGGGAGAAAAGGGGGAAAAAAGAGACAGTCACCCTGTGTGTTGCAGTGTGTGTGTGGGGGGGGGTGTCTTTGGAAGAAAAGGAGCAAAAGGAATATGGAGGAGTCACATACGGTATCCTTTTGATAAAAAAAGTAAGTTCTACCGAATGTTAAGAGACTAGAAACCCTGGCTTTTGGTACTGTCAGCACCTAAAATGCTGTCATGCAAACTTAGTGCATGATTTAAAACCAAAAAAAATAAAGAATTAACACTTGGCTGTGTCAGGTGGACTCTTTCTACCCCCCACCCTCACTCCCCTATATCTCAGAGCTTGTAGCCTTCCTTTAATACAGAAGATGAAAAAGAGTAACTGCTAGGCAGAAAGAATGTGTTCACTCTTATCAAAATCTTGTTACCAGGGTGGGCTGGGAGGGCAATGGGGAAAGATAGGGGGGACATCTGCACTGTTCTCAACAATAAAGATA